AGAGAAACGTGCGCTTGGAGATAATTAGGGACGAGACACCCGCGGAAGCTCGAAGCAATATGTGATAGAAGCTCAGGAAAAAAATAAAGATGGATCGTGGAAGATGGAAGATCTACAAGGAAGAGAGAAGAGAATAGAGGAGCGTATTGTTAAACGCATCGCTGAACGCATCAAGGAAGTCAGCCTTCAGATTCATGATTGTGGGCCTAACAAGGAAAAAAGTGAACTGCGCAAAATAGAAGGTGCGACGAAGGCTGTGAGAAGGCTTTTTATAAGGGATAAAGACTTCCTTACGAGGTGGAGGTTAAAATTTGTAGAGAGTGTCAAGAGGAGAGGCCAAGGAGACGAAGGATCACTTGAGTCGACAAGAAGGAAAGAGGAGTTGATAGAGACTGCAACGTCAGGAGAAAAGAAAGATGTCGTTGAGAGTGACGTGGGATGAGAAGGGAGAATGAGCTGCGAAAGGTGTTCTATGCGAGTTATAGGGAAGTTGGATGGGTCAACCGCTTGTGTTAAAATAAAGTTGGAGCAATTAGAGAAGCTCACCGTGAACGAGGAGGCAGAGAGCACTAGAGAGGTTGTTCAAAAGGCGCGGGTGACTGGACTCTGGGTGGGGGAAGGAGATGTGCGATCGATCCGTTATTCCTTGCGCCTTTTCCCCTTCGATGGAGCGACATTGAGAAGAGCGTGGCGCGAGACTCCCGCAAAGGCAGAGAGACTCCTGAAGAGTGAAGCCGAAGTGTCTGGAGACTTTGCTAAGGTCATAACAGAGAGTTCTGTTTTAACAATTTACAAAGTACACGACCAGTACCAGAGTGAGTTCCTTTGGACCCTAGCCGCGATTGAAAACTTTGGAGATATAGACGATTTTGAGGCGTTCTACGAGCTTTTGGAGGAATCGACGGACAGGATTCTGTTGGCTTTAGCCCTAATAGAGGCGGAATGTTAGACACTTCATTGAGATCTCGGATCCACTAAAACCACTTCAACCTCCGAATTTCCACCTTCTCCTTGATAGTCCCGCCTCTGATAGTGGCACATCAAGGGTTGAGTGATCTAGCGCGGAGGACATCGGTCAACCTACAAGAGAGTTTGCGTTCTTGTGCACCGGAAGAGTTGATGAGGATCGCGACAGGGATTTGTAGGAGAGTGAGGATATCAGAGTCCGGACTCATAGAAATTAGGAGAGGTGTTCGATGCATAGAAGAGTAGGAGGGTGGGCTTTATTTTTACTCAGGGATTTTTTGTATCGAGGGTGAGCACGAGATACAAGACGAGGCTGGAAGACTTGTTGCGATCCTGAGAGCGGTGGCAGACAAGTTATTGATTCTTTCATAGGTCCGGGCTGCGGATTCATTCATAGGTCCGGGCTGCGAATTCATTCATAGGTCCAGGCTGTTGGTGCTGAACCACTAAATCAGAAGAGGGAAAGTATATGAAATCTGATACAAAGGGACCGCATCCGGACGAGGATCAGGCGGTGTATCGAGTGTCGCCGGACCGGGCTTTGCGAGATCTCAAAGAGCGTCTTTGACAAAACACCCCTTTGAGGTGTGTAGAGCAGCCGGACGACGGCGAGCCCGAGGTAATGGCACCTCTTGCCGTTACCGAGGTTAACAGGGCTGCGCCAGTAGAACGATCGGAGATACAGAACGAGTCTCCGAGTTTTCGGCGTGAATCGTTTATTCAACGCCCATCTGTTTATGAGCGTAGGGAGGATAGAGGCTACTTACGAGGAGAAGAATTGAGGGATCAATTTATTAGAGAGCAATTATGGAGGGATAGGGAAAGAGCTGCGATGTCCAGACGGGTATCTGACCCTGAGACAGGGGAATCTCACCCCCTGCCATACGAGACGAGAGATAGGTTCATCATCTCGCATCAGCCTTCGGAATTGGATACCAGACCTCCCATTTTCAAAGGGTGTGGTATCATTGAATATATCGAAAAATGGGAGTTGCACGCCTACTGAAGTCGATGGACAGAGGAAGAGATTATAGACAACTTCCTGTTTAATGTGGACCCAAGCTTGAGTCAGGAGATTAAAGAGGTTCGACCCAAAGATAGGCGATGGGCTACTTATAAAGCAAATATGTACTCTACAAACTAGAAGATGTTAAGTATTTTATCCGAGACTTGGAGCAGCTTAGTCAAAGGGAGGGGGAGAGCGTCTGGGCTTTCGGAAAGATGTTCCAGAAGGTATCTGGTGCTCTTATGACAAGAGGAAAACCGTCTGAGGTTTATAGATGCACGATCTTCCTTAGCCAGCTACCCAGAGGAAAGCAAAAGACAGTGCTGAGAGAGACGCCTTACGATAAGTTAGAATTTACGGCGTTACTTAAGTTGGCCATGAAGGTTGAGGCGGATGACTACAAGGACTTACTCTGGAGAGGCATGCAGCGCCGGGATTATTCCCTCTATCAGGAATACGATAGGTGCCCAGATTTCAATGACAAACCTTGGGCTGAGCGACGTTATCTGATGGATAGAGATGGATCCCAACTGAGGAAGGATAAGGATGCGGTAATAGAGGAGACGCAAGAAAAGATGAAGGAAATGGCCAGGCAAATGACAAATTTTGAACTGAAAGTCGGAACTACGTACCGGGATAAGCCTGGATCCCCTTACTCTCTGCGGTGGGATCGTCGGAACACCGACCCATGGAGGAGTGTCGAAGACCGTAACCCTCGCACACTGGCTGATTACCGCGCGAGGGAAAGAGATGAAGATGAGCGGCGACGTAGAGATGAAGAGGATCGTAGACGTAGGGATGAGGAGGATCGTAGACATAGGGATGAGGAGGATCGAAGGCGCAAAGATGAGGATGATCGGACGCGTAGAGAGGACGACGAGAGGAGGCGCAGGGATGATAATATAGACAGAGACCGCCTGCGTGATAGATATCGAGAGGTAGATTCTTACAGTCGAGGAGACARAGCYGACCAGTATCCACGCAGTCCCAGGGACCGGTACCSGCGCAGTCCCAGATACRGTGGGAATGCCGAAGGGTACCGGAGTCCGGGTAACTTTAACTCGAGGGATAGAGAGGACTCCCGCARTCGGTGGGAATYGGATAGGGACCGCCGAGATGGATATCGAAGCGGTTACGAGCGGACAGAGAGAGGTGGCGATCGTAGAGAAGATTCACGAGGACAGTATGAGAGAGGAGGATATCCTGCGTCGCCGAGATATCCCAAGTCCCCAAGCTACCCTAGATCCCCTGGGCCATCCAACCAGCATGCGARACGACMGGCGATTAAGTCCGCGGAGGAACRACCCCCTACACCTAGGAACTCCTGTATCTATTGCAGAGGAGACGATCACCTCAACAGAGACTGCCCTGACCTCAAACGGGCAATAGATGAGGGGCTTCGTACTTGATGATCGCAAGTACGTCAAGTGGGTGGATAACCTCGGAGATGTGTCGATGTTTCCTTCAATGAAAGAGAACGTGGAGGCTAGGCGAGTACTACCGATTAAGGGCAAAGGAGTCGCAAGAACCCGGAGCATGAGACTGAGTCTGTCTTCTGATGAGGAGAGTCCTATGACACCCATATGGGTGGCAACGACTAAGTCCGCCAGGGCATCCTCCTTTAAGAAGCCTGACACTGACTATGTGATGGCGGAAAAGGACGGGCAGAGGATTGAAGAAGAAGAGGTTATACTTTCCCCACGCAAACGTGGGGCCAGAAAGTTCACGATGAAGAGTACCCTAGATGACATAGACACGGTCGAACCTCTTAGACGCGCTCTCAGGCAGCCTATGTAGTGCACGATCCTAGAGTACTTGGCGGCCTCGAGGCCAGCGCGGGATGAGCTGCAGATGATTACGCGCAAGACACGTATTCCTCTGAGCGACGAAGTCCAGATGGCAACCAAACAGGAGGAGATACCCACAGTAGCAGTATCTAGTGTGGTCGCTAAGGCAGATCGTGTTGCAACGGTGTTCTTGGATGACATAGAGGGAGTGCCTCCTGACAAGTTTTATATCCTGGGCAGTGGGAGAGTACAGACTACCCTCAACGACGAGATAGTTCTTCATGCAGTAATTGATAACGGCAGCGAGGCTGTTATCATAGATGAGGGTCTGGCGATTCGGTTGGGATTAGACCTTGATAAGTCATTCAAATTTGAGATAGAGACCGCCGATGGAAGAAAGCAGAAAGTCACCGGGGTTTGCCACAAGGCTGCGATTGAGGTCGAAGGGCTGAGAGTGATGATGTCTATTTTCGCAGTTCGGGATTGCAGCGCAGAGTTATTATTGGGGCGGAGATGGTTGAGTCACGTCCATGCCGTTACTATAGAATGGCCGGATGGAAGCGAGATGCTTTCCATCAAGCGTCCAGACGGTGGGCGGATTATGATGGAGACGGTAGAGCCTTGTGACCCGAGGAACAGAGCGGTTCTCGCTGCAGGGGGCCGCGTACCGGTTCCCCTTGCGAGTCGCTCATTGAGCTTTCGCGAAAAGAAGTATGGCTGTCTCTTATACACATCTAGATGTGTATAAGAGACAGGGCTGAGAGTGATGATGTCTATTTTCGCAGTTCGGGATTGCAGCGCAGAGTTATTATTGGGGCGGAGATGGTTGAGTCACGTCCATGCCGTTACTATAGAATGGCCGGATGGAAGCGAGATGCTTTCCATCAAGCGTCCAGACGGTGGGCGGATTATGATGGAGACGGTAGAGCCTTGTGACCCGAGGAACAGAGCGGTTCTCGCTGCAGGGGGCCGCGTACCGGTTCCCCTTGCGAGTCGCTCATTGAGCTTTCGCGAAAAGAAGTATGGGCCCCTGCTTACAGAAGAAGAAGATCGGATAGTGGAAGTCGAGGATTTAGGCACTCGTGTCCGTGTGGGAGGGAACTCTTATCCCAAAGCTGAAGAAGAGGAATTCGGAGGGATGATATCTGTGTCTTTTTTAAGGGCGCAGCCCCCTATGGGGGGCGACCAAAAAGACACAAGACGGTAGCTCAAAAGGTTAAGTCGGCAGCCGTAGCTCGAGAGCGATCAGTGTTAGATGGAGTATCTGAGGAAGGGATCGCTAGAGAGATTAAAGAAAAGAAGAGAAAGGAGCCGCAACGACTGACAAAAAAGAGGAAAGCGGAGATGGACATAGGCGATGAGAATCTAACTAAGCCGGAGAAAATGCGAGTGTTGGAAGTCCTTAAGTCCTGCGACAAAGCTATAGCATTCAGTGATGCGGAGAGAGGAAGGATTGATCATAGGTATGCTAAGCCTGCAAGGATTTACACGATTCCGCATACACCATGGAATGACGCAGGGTGGAAGTTTGCTCAGAAAGAGAAAGAAGAGGTGATCTCCTTTCTCAAAGAGAAGATGGCATCACACGTAGCTGAACCATGTGATAGCACGTATGCGAATAAATGGTTCTTCTTAAGGAAGCGTAATGGAAAGATTCGGTGGATTCAAGACCTTCAGAAGGTCAATGCGGTGACAATTCGAGATGTAGGCTGCGTACCGCATGCTGATCTATTAGCAGAAGGAGCGGCAGGCAGATCCATTTATTCTGTCTGCGATGTATTTTCAGGATATGACGAGATACCACTAGATCCGAGAGATAGGCATCTCACAACCATGCACACACCGCTCGGATTAGTGCATATGATGGTCGTTCCGATGGGATGGACCAATGGGGTAGCTGTCTTTCGGAGAGCCATCGTAGCGGTTCAGAAAGACTTTATCCCTGATAAAGTAAAAGTTTTCCTGGACGACTTTCCGATAAAAGGACCGGTGTTAAAAGATGAGACGGAAGTCGCTCCTGGTGTCAAGAGGTTCGTAGAGCAACACCTGACGGACATTTACGCAGTTMTGGAAAAGCTAGATRAAGCTAACCTAACRGTTAGCGGGACAAAGAGYCGATGGGCCRTGTTGACGATTAAGATCCTARGGTTTATATGCGACGCTAAAGGCCGACACCCCGACCYTGGGAAGCTGGAGAAGTTGTTGAATTGRCCGACTCCTTTGCACAGTGCAACTGAAGTTCGCCAGTTTTTAGGCGTTGTTGGTTATTGGCGGATCTTTATACGGGGATATGCGGAAAAGGCAGAGCCTCTACGCACACTTCTTAGGAAGACCGAGAGGTTCTACTGGGATTCTTCTCATGAGCTTGCAATGCAATCTCTCAAGGAAGAATTTAAAGAAGGCGGCTGGATTGTAGGTTTGTCATTCTTTGAGGACGAGACGGACAGACCGTTCATAGTGTCTACGGATGTTGGGCCGTGTTCGGTTGGGGGATTGCTTTCTCAGAAGGATGCTGAAGGGAAAGAAAGACCATTGAGGTTCGAGAGCCGAACACTCAACACTGTTGAACGCAACTACAGTCAGTTTAAGAAGGAAGTGTTAGTTGTTCTACGGTGCTTAGATACCTTTAGGCATTACATATACGGGAGACGATTCGTTTTCAGGGTAGACCCTACAGCTGTAGCGTCAGTTCTACAGAAGGATTTCAGTTTGACGGATCCTACGATCGCACAATGGCTGATCATGATTCGATTTTATGACTATACTGTAGAGAGGATTTCAGGGGCAAGAACGTTGTGGCCGACGGACTTTCACAGATCCCAATTGAGGCGGAACGACCAATAGCGGTTGCTGCACTAACTTTGGCTGGGCCTAGACGAACGGATCGCTTCCTAGTCAATCTTTATGAAGGTAAGTACCGCACTATAGGACTGCATCTGTCAGGAGAGGAAAACACTGATTCGGACATCCGGAGACAGGCGGCACAAAACTGCCTTAGAGCTGGGCATTTGTTTCATCGACCTGTGGGAGCAGGGATGCCTCTTCGGGTGATTTGTGACCCAGAGGAGAAGCAGTCCATAGTAGCTGAGTTACATGACGGTGTAGCCGGAGGACATAGAGGAGTAAAAGGTACATATGAGAAAGTTCGCAGACTATATTGGTGGGAAGGACAGTACAAGGATATCGAGAAGTACTGCGAGACGTGTAAGGATTGTCAAAAGAGATCACTTGTCAGATATAAAGAGCCACTTCACCCTTCCTATCCGACTAGACCAGGAGAGAAAGTGCATATTGATCTGGTGAAAATGCCGAAGGGTGTGGCGAACATGAACTTAGTGAACATCAGGGATGATTTCACTGGCTTTGTCGATGGTAAGCCTATTAGGACGAAGGCCGCAAGAGAAGTCAAGAACTTCGTTCTGGAGTACTTGTCTAGGTACGGGTGTGTCAGTAAGATTGTGATAAATAGAGGAGCGGAGTTCCTAGCAGATGAGGTACAAAGTGTATTTAAGAAAGCAGGTGCTAGAGTGTCTATAGCTACTGCCTATCATCCTCAGTCCAACGCGCTTGTAGAGCGGGGCCACCAGTCATTGATAGCATCACTTTCCAAGTGGTGTAGAGGAAAGGATAGGGACTGGCCGAAGTATTTCCTATATGCGATATGGGCAGATAACGTTACGCTGCGGGCCAGCACTGGGTACCCACCTTACACGCTTTGGTTTGGGAGGCACTGTCCTCTGCCTATAGAATTCCACGTCGATAGTTGGACTATGGTTGATTGGGCGGATAGCATGACACGAGAAGAGCTGTTAGCCGCTAGGACTAGACAGATAGCATACGGATTGGAGGATAACCTCATGACTGCGGCCAATCGACTGGCAGTAGAAAGAGAAAAGAACAAAGTGAGATGGGAGAAAGACGTCAAAATCAAAAAGGAAAAGATTAAAGTCGGCGATATGGTGCTCCTCTTAGGCGCCGCCCTAGAGAGGACATGAACTGGAAAACTGGCTAACAGATGGATGGGGCCCTACCGTGTAGTCGGTGCGTTATCTTGGGGAGCATATATGATTGCCGAGCTGGATGGATCGAAGTGGAAGGATCCTGTGGCTGGAGCTAGACTGAAGTTGTTTAAGCCAAGGGAGGTTCCTACTCCTGCACTGAAGCGATCAGATCCTACTGGAAAAGGGAAAGCTAAAGTGGCAGATGAGGGACCGTCGAGACGATTCAAGGAAGGTGAGAGCTCAAGGAAGAGGAAGAGAGTAGAAACCAGGAAAGTGAAGGGCCTAACACTGGGTAAGAAGAGGAAATGGGTTTTTGTCCTATAAAGGCGTAAGAGAAGAGTCCGCATTAGGAAGGGTGGTGCAGCTGATACACGAGCTCCCCAACGAAGAAAGAAGCGAAGAAATGTTTCGGTATCGAAGTCCAAACGACAGCGACGTAAGAGAGGGAAGAAGCACCCTCTCAGCCCCAAAGTCCCTGAAAAACCCAGACGCCAGACAGACAAGAGGAGGCAGTTGCGTCGAGCGCGAGTGGTCCATTTAGACCTCGTACCAGGGTTGTCGACCCCCGGACCCGGGGCCCCGGCGGGGGTCCTGGGGGTCGGGGGTCGGCACCCCCGGCCCCGGCTTTCCAAACAAAAAAAAAAAAACAAAAAAAAATCGGAAAAAAAATAAAAAATAAAATAAAAAAATACTGGGGGGTGCACGCCGCGGCCCGGCAGCCCCTGGCGATTTATCGATTTTCAAGAAACAGGGGGTCCTCCCCTCCCCCCCCGAGGTGGCGGTCACCAGTGCCGGGGGTCGGGTGTCGGGGGGGCGGGGGTCGCCCTGGGTCGAGTGT